GTGAACCATGGGCTTTTCTCATCAGTCTTTGTTATTCTGAAGGAATTTTTCCAGAATGTTGGAAGTTGGCTATGGTTCTGCCATTAAACAAAAGAGGTGATTCTGATGATTTTTCTAATTATAGAGCCATCAGTTTATTGTCAAGTCTCCCTAAACTCATTGAAATGGACATCACTAATCACCTCTCATCATTCTTGTGGAGTCAGAGACTGTTATCCAGAAATCAACATGGATTCTGTAAAAATATGAGAAAAGAATCTGCTCTGTGTGACTTTTGAAAATGACTAGTAGACAATCTTGATAAGAGAAAATATGCTCCTGGTCTTTGACTTTTCAAGAACTTTCGTCTTAGTCAATCAGAGGCTTTTATGTAATAAGTTGGAATCATATGGAGTTAGGGGGATACCGGTAAAATTATTTGAATCATATTTAAATGGTAGAAGTCAAGTTGTTAGACTGAATGAATCGAGGTGTACATCAAGGATCTGTATTGGGACCTTTATAGTTTAATATATTTGTAAATGATATAATCAGTCCAATGGAAAGAAACCAAGATATAAAAATAGTGTGTTATGCAGACGATACAAATTTACTAATTTTTTAAAAAGCATGGACATGCTACTGAGTAAAACTGAGAGGATTTGTGAAGATTTCATTCGGTGGTCTGAAAAAAAATGTCTGTTACCGAATCACAACAAAACAGTCACAGACTTTTTTGGGCGCTCCAAGCAAAGATCACCTGTGTTATTCGAAAATACCGTAAAACAAATAACTTGAAGTAATGAGGTGAAACTTTTTGAAGTAATTTTCGACAAACATCTGCAATCGGCAAGTCATACTGAACTATTGTCAATGAGCTGAGAAGTAGTTGCTACAGCTGAAGTATATAAAAGACCACTGCAGCAAAAATGTATTGCTTACGCTGTACTTTGCACATTTCCACTCCCACATGAAGTATGGTATACTGAATTGGGGAAACAGTGCCGGTATGAATCGGATTTTCATTCTTAAAAAATACGCAGTTCAAATTATGGAAAGTATTGATTTGAGAAATAGTTGTCATCAATACTTTATAACTCTTGGTATGTTAATAGTTTACAGTTTATATATACTGGAAGCTTGCACATATATCTATAAGAATAAAAATAAGTTTAGATAACAATCACTGCTATAACACCCGTGATAGAAATCTCTTGCAGCCTGATTTTCATCGCACATCTCTGTGCCGAAGATTTTTTTATTGTATCGGTTGTGAGGTCTATAATATTCTTGATGATCATATGAAATCATCCCCCAATGACCATATTTTCAAATCAAGGCTGAAAAAGATCCTACTTCGTTAGTGTTGTTATTGCATAGATAATATATTTTTTATTTTTGAACTATATAATTGATGTTTTTTATATATAAATGTATACGTTAATTTGTAATTGTTGACATGTCCTTGTTCAATGTAACGATGTAACTGAAATATTGACGTTTGTAATCATTTATGTAACCTTTGTGCATTCAAATGATAGAATGAAGGATTATTATTATTATTATATTTCATATAACAATGTAACATTTTCCTCAGGTCTTAACGTCCAACTTGAAATCATTCTCATAAGAAGTCTTTGCTCCTGAAACATTCAGTACCAGATACAGAAAAAATCCTATTCTTTCTGGCTTTGTCAGTATCTTCAAGATATAACAACTTTCACTAGATCGAAGTTGTCACAAGAATCGAAAGCTTCAACAAATCATATTCACTCACCCAGTATGAAACCAATTAAGGTTATTTCGGGACCCAAATAACACGTTTTCTCCGATTAAGGAAGACCGTTCATTTCCGTTTCACAAAATTCGAGTAGCTATTTGCTTCGTGTCCTCGATAGAGATAATCTATGGCGGAACTCGCAAGTATTAAGGCTGTATTGGCGAAATTTAATACCTAATTGAAAAGCAGACGGATTTACAGAATTTAGAAACGAGAGAAGGAAGTGCAGTCTGACATTTCCTGAGCATCGATTGCTGACTTAAAGGTATAAATATTTCATATTGGAAACTACATTCCATATTAACAATATCGCAAATACGATGTCTGTTCAGAAAATGAGGTGAGTTTTCAAATTTTGCGGGCTATTTACATTCGATTTGCATTTTTTCATTGTTTAATATTGGTACACTCGTCTGTTTACTCGTATGTTTACAGTTTCAGCTGTTTGGCATGCTCAGTTTGTTGCTGAGAGGCATTAAAGTTGAATGTGTTTTGAGTGTTCACTGATTTTCCGCTTTCAAAAAAAAATTGATTTAAAATTTTGCATCGAATTTTGTGTGAAAAATATTTACAAGCTTTTCACAGAAGGTCGAGAAGATGCGAATGGCGACGCTCGCCCTGGTCGCTCCGGTTCATGAACCAATGAAAATGTTTATTGCTGAGGGTGTCGCCATATCGATTGGCTCAGGTCGTGCAGTTTTTTCGTAAATTTTTGGCATGAAAGTCGCATGAGCATCGCTCTGGAATTGTTGAATGACGTCAACGGTGATCCATATTCGTTTGGTCATAACTATCAAGTATATCTAACTTTCGTTAATACGAGATCTACGGAAGTAATGTACCCAACATCAGGAAGTAGACTCAACATAAGAACTATGTTCATAAATGTGTCTGATTAGAAAAAATGTACGGATCATTATATGTACCTAATGAAACTGGGACATACTAAGAGATAAAGCTCATGCTGATTTTTCACTAGTAAAGAACTGGCTCGAACATAAATGAATAATGATTAACTTGGAAAAAATCAATTACCTATCTCTCAGTTGGAATAATGTAAGCAGACCGCATTTTGAAAATACTGAAATCGATACTTCACAAAACCAAAATTTCTCAATATTACCTGTGAAAGAAATTAAAAAACTACAGAGCTTTCTTCATAAATTCAGATATCTTGAGGAAATGCTATCATTCATGCACATGAAAACACTATACTTCACTTCAGTACGTTATAGCAGGGGAGCAGACGACGCAAATGGGGATTTACTCCAGCGTCATTGAGACATATTAGATTGCAAATCTTAGATGATAAAAAGAAAATAATGTTATATAATATATACCTTTTCTTCGGTGGGGGAAGCGGCTATAGATTTTTAAATATGTAAAAAAATACTGTTGCATGGAACTACTCGAGCGCGTCAGATATTGATAGCATTAATGTCCTACGTATTTTTGATAATGTTGGTATGTTAATCTGATCGTTTGCATGATGTGGGTGATTGTACGCAAGGGTTGAAAGTGAAAAGAAAAAAAAAGCTCTCATAGAATAAACTGACGATTTCGATCTGACACAAACTCGCGGCAATTATTTTAATGTGCAAAAAACATTCGTCTTTTCGTATTACACTGTCATTTCCATATATATATTTTTTAAGTATGATACTTTTTTCGTAATGTTCTTGTATTCTTTTTATGTAGTTGAGTAAGGTAAATTTATATCAACACAAGTGTTTGCTCACTTATCGAGTAGGTATCATTTATGCAAAAAAATTGTATTTGCCGTATACATTCTCTCACTCTTTCCGTTAATAAATGATATTACGTTAGGTTCAAAGTGAGTGATTCTATTCGACCCTCCACCGCAACCCGCAAGGGTTTATTGTGGCTCACACCTATTCACACTCGACCAAATAAACCCAGCTTCTTAACAAAGCCGATTAATTTGTATGATGAGTGGTTTTTCACGTCAGATCGTAAGAGTACGGCTCTGCCGAACTCTAAAAACCTGATTCGGTCCCCAGCGGGGCAGGCACAAAGTATATGCTCTGTTGTTCCATCATTTCACGAACAAAGGCGGCACACACTGTCTTCCGACAGTCCGAGACTTTGTATATGATGATTCAAATGACAGTAATCTGTAAGAAGGCCTGTTAGACATCGTAGTTCATCCCTACAGTAGTCCACCAACTATTTTGTATCAAGCTTCGAAGGGTGAATAAACGGCTTGATGTGAGCCGTTTCTGGAAGATTCTGCCAGAAGTCGGTAAATCTTTTAACCATCCTGGCGCCCATTGTTTGTTTGGCAAAGTCTAAAGCGATACCAATGACAGGTTCTGGTCCGATGAAGTTGCAAGGGAGTCAGTAGCCTCATTGCCTTCCAGGTCAGTATGGCCAGGAATCCAGACCAGGGGCAATCTGTTAAGTCTTCCTATCGAGGAGAGATGTTTTTGGCAATTTGCTACTAATTTAGACGTTGCTCGTTAGGAGCCAAGGGCTTACAACGCCGCATGATTGCCCGAGAATATTTTTATTGACTTGTGTATGAGGTTGGATTCTTCCAATCTCTCCGCACACAAATCAATAGCGTAAATTTCCGCTTGAAATAATAAATGATATTATTATTATTAATATTGATGGAATTGGTCGATAGTTGATGAAAATACATGACAACGTATTTGGGTGATACTTTATTTTAATAATTCCACTTGAAGATTTCGGAATCTAACACATGCGTTTTACTGACAAATAGCGTCTTCATACTTGTTCAATACTAAAGTAGGGAAGAGAAGGGTAATTGTACGTATCTAAGCAATATCGGTAAAAACTGCAGATTTGCCATAGTCGTTTATTCGTTTTTAACATAGCCGTATCAAATTTTCTACAAAATAAAAGGGGTTGGTATAAAACAGATAAACCCGAGTTCTGTGGTTTGCGTACCATTCCCCTTCACGGCGGTTAATGATACGCATTTTGTCGGGCAATGATACGCAAATAAAAACTGTTTGAAAAAATCGTGTTCATTGACAATTGTTAGAAAATATATTAAATTTACAAAAGTAAACTTATTCGTAATTAAAACTTAATAAAAACGAAAACTTGAAACATATTTTAGATATTTAAAAAAATATTGAACTTATTTCAGAAACTGAATTAAAATTCGCCAACAAGGTCTCTTTTTGCAAAGGATATTTCACCGCAAAAGTCGCATTCATAATCAGTGGTCCTGCCCACCGCATTCATCATGTACCCACTTCCCGCAGGTAACACATCTATGTCAAATTTCCCCATCTTTTCTGAAATCTTCACATGACAAGCATTGATCCTTCTCGTTTGAATCCACATATATGTCATCCAGTTCATCATCATCAACAAGATTTTTCTCGTCAATTTCGTTGTCCTCGGAAGTATCAGAATCTAGTTACATATTCCTTTTATTCGTTGTTTTTTGCGTAATGGCACTTTTGCTTTGATATTTTAACCCTTTCCTTCTCGAAAAAAAATTATTTTATTCCTTCTTTGTTGCTTCTCCTCGAGAATTATTTTCATTGTTGTAGCTGTTAATATTTCTGACTTTCCCTTGGTACATTTTTTAGTTTTATTTTATCAGAATATGACGGCAATGGTAAAAGTTCTACAATGCTGACTTCGCCTTTTGCTAAAGTACTTTTCACTTTTGAATTTCGTTTAGGACAGGATTGGGGTATAATTGGAACGTTGGAAGTTGACGGGCCAGGATCACGCTGATTTGTGAAGTCCAAATCATCAGATACAATTGGCAAATATTGACTAGCAGCTTCAAAATCCTCTTTGGTAAATTTATCTGGATTGAATGGGTGGATTCCAGATGAGTTGAAAACTGATATAGTTTTTATATTGTCGCAATTTCAACGTAGGCATTTTTAAATATTTCTGCCAAATCTGGGAAAGTTATTTTCTCTTGCTTGCCAGCTTTCAAAAAATATCGCACTTCTTATGTGAGGTATGTGGCGGTATTGACAACATGTCAATTCTATTATCTTTACAATAGTTATAAATCGGAATGGATATATGGCTATAATGGTTGTCGAGCACCAGGAGAACACGGTTTGCCTTACTTGAATTTACATGCAATTTAAAATGCTGTAATAACTGAAGAAAACATTTTGTCTTCGCTCCAGCCATTATCGATAACAGCATAAATTCCCTCTGGTAGTCAATTTTTCGTCAATGTAGGAGACATTCGTTTCCGAGGAAATATTAGGAGGGGTGGAATAAAAGTCTCAGAAGCACTCATTGGGCATATGGCAGTTACATTATTTGCACGTTCCCAAGATATTTTTAATCCAAATTGTTTTACGCCTTTTGGTCCCAGTTGCTTAGTTGGCTTCTGAACAGTTGAAATCCCAGTCTCGTCAATATTGAAGATTCTGCTTGGACCAAATTTAAGTTTTTCTAACAAAGATGCCAAATTGGAAAAAAAATTTTAACGGATTCTTCATTAAAAGCAGTAATTCTATTGACACTTGTCCCTTCAGGTTTTCTAAGGCTAATTTAGGGGTTTCTCTCAAGAAATAATCGCAGCCAATCCTTGCCTGCTTCTTGATGAGTTTTATTGAAACGCGGGTTTTCGTAACTCTACCGGAGTCAACCAATGAAACAATTTAGCTAGTTCAAAAACGTGACTTGACATTTGAGTTTCAACCTCAGCTGAGAAGATAGAGGGTTTTCCTAGTCTTGGACCAGATCTGTTGTTTTTTCTGCACGCTCTCAGTGTTGCCTCGTGAATGTTGAATGATCTGGAAACCTCTCAAATTTTTCTACCAGAATCTATTGCCTCAAGAGCTTTCTGTAAAGTCTCCTCGGTCCAACCAGCGATATTTGTTTTTCTCACGTACTTGTTAGGCATCTGAAACAACAATATGGGCAGCTGAAACACATGTACTGATGATTTAGGTATGATGCGGGTAATGGTACGCGAATGAGGGTAATCGTACGCAATTGCGTATCATTACCCAATTTACGCCATTTGTCTTATGACCTATTTGAACAAATTATTGGTCGATATTGCCACGAAATATATACGGCATTTGATTCCATCGACCGACTGTCGGCTATACTGTGCAAAGTAATTAGTCAAGCACAGAAACCAAATAATAGCCGTTTTGAAAGATTCAGGGTTCCAACGTTTTCAGGGAATGAAAACGAAGATCCGGAAATTTTTATTTCTAGACTTTTGGCGGAGTTAGTAAAAAGTGACATTCCAGAAGGGGACTGGGTGCAGATATTGTTTGCCCAGCTCACTGGGGATGCATCAAAATGGGCAGCGATATACTCGCAGACCCAGATATCATGGTCCATGATGGTGGCGAGGCTTAAGCAGAAATATGCTAGTCCGGAGTTGATTGCCAAACTCACGGCGAAATTTTATGGAGAGAGCCAGAATCGGAACACAAAGGTTGATGTGTTCATTATTAAAAAATTTGAATTAGCGAAGAGGTTATTTCCTGGTGTACCAGAAAGAGGGGTTCTCCAAGTTATAGCCCAATTGCTCTCGCCAGAACTGCGTTGCTTTTTTAGAGGCAAGCCGTTAGTAAACATCGAAACTCTGATTCAAGGCGCCAGCAATATCGAGGAAGATTTGAGATTGTCAAAGCAAACGTACTGAGGTATCAATCCTCAAGCTGATCGTACTCAGACAGGACCAACCTCGAATAATATAGCCCGCAACCAAAGCGGATGGAATAATAACAGGACAACTACCTCTGCAGAAATTTATCGTCCCCCACAGAGGGCCGATCACGACAGGCCGGCACCTCGACAGGCAGCGAACATTGATCGTCATGAACGCCACAACAATGTGGAGAGCCGGAGGCCCCAAAAATTGAGAACAACTGCAAAGACGTCCCAAATTTTCCCGATTTGGAGTGTTATATGTCGCTGGCCGAAGAACGGCCGCTGATAGGGAGAAATCTCCCTAGAATTCCCTGTACCATAAATAAAATGATTCTGTCTGCCCTCATCGATACTGGAGCCTCAAGCAATTTTATCCAAGCCAGTGTAATAGCTAACCACGATTTAACTAGGCTCCCGAACCCAGCTACTGTGTTTAGGGGATGTGAAAGTAATATAAGGCAGAGCTTAGGCCAAATCACACTGGCGGTGGAAATCGAAGAGCGAGAGTTCCAGATCAAATTCACTGTATTTACCCAATTACAAGAACAAGTAATATTGGGTCTTCCCTTCCTAAAAAAAACCGAAGCCACCATAGACTTGTGTAGAGGGTCGATTTATTTCGGGCAAGCCCCAAGGCTGTGTATTTATTTCGAGACAAACCTAGCACGCAGGGTTTTCCCAAAGGAAGTATCCCGCTGGAGCTGGAAGACTCCCAATTTTCCCTTGAAAACAAAGATGAGCTCCTACCGATACTGGAGCAGTTCCCTGATGTCTTCGAGGAGACGATCCGCCAGCCTCAGACTAGAGCGATATTCCACAAAATAAGAGTGAAAGAGGAAAGACCATTCCGTCAATCCCGTTATGGGAAGATGTCGGAAGTGCGGAAGGCAATCGTTCACGATGAAATCTCGAAATTATTAGAGGCAGGAATGATTGCCCGAAGCACTTCTCCTTATTGCTCGCCTGTGGTATTGGTCCCCAAAAAAGGGGTGAAACTCCAGTTTTGTGTAGACTATAGGCAGATAGATAAGTTAATCATAACTGAGGCCCCCTATCTACCTCCCATTCAAGAGACAGTGCGCGAAATGGATAGGGCATCTATTTTTACGACGTTGGCACGCCCCGTTAGACAAAGAATCTAGGAAGTACACCGCATTCGGAGGACCGGAGTACGAGCTTAAGGTTCTCAGCTTTGGGCTCAAGAACGGGCCTGCCGCGTTTCAAAAGCTAATGTCCGAAGTCCTGGTAGGCTTTGTGGACAAGTTTTGCAAGGTCTACTTGGACGACATCATGTGTACTCGCACGACTTGCAGGAGCACTGTGGCCATTTGCAGCTAATCCTAGAGCGACTCCGGATTCATGGGCTCTGGCTGTCTCCATCCAAATGCCAGTTTGGGTCCAGCACCCTTAATTACTTTGGCCGGGTGGTTTCCAAGGTTTTTAATAGACCTCAGGAGCAACACGTGCTGAATGTGCAGAAATTCCCGGCTCCCATGGAATATTAAGCAAGTGCGCGCCTTCCTGGTCACAGCGGGATGGCTTAGGGAGTACATCCCAAATTTTGCCGAGATGGCCGCATCACTAACTGACCTCATTGATAAAAAGAGAAAGTTTTCATGGAGCAAAGAAGCGCAGGAGAGTTTCCAGACTATAAAAGAAGCTGTCTCACAGCCGTTCGAGCTTGCGCGACCTGACTCCAATCTCTCGTATGGCCTCCAAACTGACGCCAGTCATACTGGCATAGGCGCAGTGCTTTTTCAAGTGGACCCCCAATGCTACACTAGGAGAATAATTGCCTATAGTAGCGCCAAGTTAAACGCCACCGAAAGGAAGTATCACATTAACGAGACGGAATGTCTCGCGTGGTGTGGGCGATAAAAAATATAAGCATTATCTCCAAGACGGAAGTTTTACCCTTTTCTCAGATAATTCGGCTTTATTATGGCTGGATGAGATGAAGGATGAAAAAGCCAAGCTGATGCGTTGGTCCTTGCTCCTACAGGAGTATGACTTCAAGGTAGAGCATATTCCAGGTAAAAGGAATCAGCTACCTGACTTTTCATCCCGAAATCCAACCCAGACCCAAACTAACATGGACCTCGAGACTGACGTAGAAAGAATGTTCTTTCCCCATAAACTGCCAGAGGCACACAATGAAGTTGAGGATGAAATCTTGCTCCAGTTCGCGGACGAGCTGGGCGAGTTATTCAATGTGTGTGACTTGGTTTGTGTGGTGGCCAGTGACCCCGAGTTGTTGAACCAAATGCAGGCTTGGTTCGAGGAAGTCGCTGAGCTACAACGTACGAGTGATAGTGTGAGGCGGTTTAGGATCCGGATCGAGAGGGCCCGAGCGAACCCCGATCCAACAGAATATGAGCAGAGGATCACACACGATTTCCGGATGGAAAACGACTCACTATATTACATAGGACTTAACCAAGATGTCAAGAGATTGCTAGTCCCAAGGCGCTCTTGGGATAAATTGATCAAGCGCTACCATGACCAGGCTGGTCATACTGGGATCGAAGAAACACAGAACCAGATCAGTAGACATTTCTACTGGTCCAATATGCGGAAGCAGGTGTCAGTATATGTTAATACGTGCCTGACTTGTGCGACAACTAAGCGAAGCCCTCCTCAGGAAGCCGCCCCTTTACGGCCGAACGAGCCAGACCGTCCCTGGCAGATGATGTCGGTTGATGTACTTGGCCCTTATAAACCTACCGAAGAGGGTAACAGATATGTAATGACGGCTACTGATTGTTTCAGCAAGTGGGTGGAAGTCCGCACGGCGGAGTCCGTCCAGGATGCAACAGTGGTAGAGTTTCTTGCACAAGAAATATGGGGATTTCCGGAGGTGGTTATAACAGACAGTGCTGCGATGTTCCTAGGCAGAAACTGGGAGCAGTTTTGCCAAAAGAACGAAATTTTCATTCGAACTAGCCCGGGATACCACCAGCAGGCAAACCCTGTGGAAAGGCGAGTTCAAGAGTTAAAAAAGATTTTGCGAGCTGCCTTGATAGGCAGAGACGAGTCGCACTGGGAGCGATGCCTCCCAGAAATCATCTTCAACTTGCGAACCTGAACCAACTCTTGCTGGGTTACGAATTACCTCGGCCTGGCGATTGGGACACTTCTCTACAAAAGAGGCGAGGCCTCTAAACGAAAACCGTGTCCAACGCATAGTGGAAGCCCAGCAGAGTTCTCATAACTGACCTCATTGATAAAAAGAGAAAGTTTTCATGGAGCAAAGAAGCGCAGGAGAGTTTCCAGACTATAAAAGAAGCTGTCTCACAGCCGTTCGAGCTTGCGCGACCTGACTCCAATCTCTCGTATGGCCTCCAAACTGACGCCAGTCATATTGGCATAGGCGCAGTGCTTTCTCAGGTGGACCCCCAAGGGTACACTAGGAGAATAATTACCTATATTAGCGCCAAGTTAAACGCTACCGAAAGGAAGTATCACATTAACGAGACGGAATGTCTCGCGGTGGTGTGGGCGATAAAAAAATATAAGCATTATCTCCAAGACGGAAGTTTTACCCTTTTCACAGATAATTCGGCTTTATTATGGCTGGATAAGATGAAGGATGAAAAGGCCAAGCTGATGCGTTGGTCCTTGCTCCTACAGGAGTATGACTTCAAAGTAGAGCATATTCCAGGCAAAAGGTATCAGCTACCTCACTTTTTATCCCGAAATCCAACCCAGACCCAAACCAACATGGACCTCGAGACAGACGTAGAAAGAATGTTCTTTCCCCATAAACTGCCAGAGGCACACAATGAAGTTGAGGATGAAATCTTGCTCCAGCTCGCGGACGAGCTGGGCGAGTTATTCAATGTGTGTGACTTGGTTTGTGTGGTGGCCAGTGACCCCGAGTTGTTGAACCAAATTCAGACTTGGTTCGAGGAGGTCGCTGAGCTACAACGTACGAGTGATAGTGTGAGGCAGTTTAGGATCCGGATCGAGAGGGCCCGAGCGAACCCCGATCCAACAGAATATAAGCGGAGGATCTTACACGATATCCGGATGGAAAACGACTTACTATATTACATAGGACTTAATCAAGATGCCAAGCGATTGCTAGTCCCAAGGCGCTCTTGGGATAAATTATTCAAGCGCTACCATGACCAGGTTGGTCATACTGGGATCGAAGAAACACAGAACCAGATCAGTAGACATATCTACTGGTCCAATATGCGGAAGCAGGTCTCAGCATATGTTAATACGTGCCTGACTTGTGCGACAACTAAGCGAAGCCCTCCTCAGGAAGCCTCCCCTTTACGGCCGAACGAGCCAGACCGTTCCTGGCGGATGGTGTCGATTGATGTACTTGGCCCTTATGAACCTACCGAAGAGGGTAACAGATATGTAATGATGGCTACTGATTGTTTCAGCAAGTGGGTGGAAGTTCGCACGGCGGAGTCCGTCCAGTCTGCTACAGTGGTAGAGTTTCTTGCACAAGAAATATGGGGATTTCCGAAGACGGTTATAACAGACAGTGCTGCGATGTTCCTAGGCAGAAACTGGGAGCAGTTTTGCCAAAAGAACGAAATTTTCATAGGAACTAGCCCGGGATACCACCAGCAGGCAAACCCTGTGGAAAGGCGAGTTCAAGACTTAAAAAAGATGTTGCGAGCTGCCTTGATAGGCAGAGACGAGTCACACTGGGAGCGATGCCTCCCAGAAATCATTTTCAACTTGCGAACCTGAACCAACTCTTGCTGGGTTACGAATTACCTCGGCCTGGCGATTGGGACACTTCTCTACAAAAGAGGCGAGGCCTCTAAACGAAAACCGTGTCCAACGCATAGTGGAAGCCCAGCAGAGTTCTCGCGCATATCGCAGCAAGCGATTTCCTGACAGGAATAAGGTACCAACTGTCACGTTCGCACCAGGCCAGTGGGTGTTGTGCAGAAATCACTCTCGAAAAGCCCGAAAGAATTTCGAGGACGCTGCTGTGATACCATAATAGAACGACGTAGTTCTGTG